CATTCTGCTTCAATTTTAATCTACCTAAAAAGTGAAATGTTAAGTATTTAAAAGTATTAATATAGTGATAATTAAATACTGCAGGATGTAACGAGTGTTACAGAAACATGGGCTGGCTACCTAACTTGTGACGTCATCAGTGGGGGTTGCCGTGACACAAATAATGATACACTGCTCTGCCCTCTTATTCAAGTAAATTATTCAGTTAGATGGAGATTTCTGTCAGGTGCAAAACAGAAATTGTTGTTCTTTTTCACAACAACCTTGTTGTTGTGCACAAGGACCTATTTCTTAGTTAAAATTGTATTCATAAAAGAGTGTTGGTATTCCCCGCAACAGCCAATCACAGGAAGGTATTTCTGGAAGCTCGGCCTCCTTATGTTCTCAGCACATCGCTCTAGCTCATGGCTCTGTTTCATCTCTTGTATATACAAACTATGACTTTTTTCGATTACTGTTATAATTAATAATAGGAGATATAAAAGTTTTTACACAAAATGGCTAAATTCTGCCATTAAATGAACTTTGTCTGGAATACATACAAACATACACCAATTTATTACCATTCATCCATTATTAATTTCAAATGTAATATATACTGTCTAGCTTTTTCCCTCTCGCCATTACTTGGTGCAATATTTGAAAGTTGTCTATTTATTTATCGAGCTATCTATTATCTTGTATTTATATTTACAAGTTTCTGTGCTTGGAAGAAAACTCTGCATTAAATTGGGACTAATTTATTAAATAATATTATTTAGTATTAATTAATATTTACAATTATTATCAATTACAATTATTTATAGTTTAGTTACTTTCACGTAACTCGCAATCGTACATTCTTAACATTAATAGCCCAAATTAGCACATCTTGCTTTTAAATTAGCCCAAAAAGTAGCAAGTAGCGAAATAAAAAAATTTGGGCGCGCGGGGCTCTCAAAAGTAGCCCAATTCGCTATTTGTAGCCCAACCTGGCAACACTGCGCTGAATGGCTCCCGGCACCACTATGGTGGTGGCTCCTCACTCCCTTCCCTCTGGCTCCTCCACTCCCTTCCTGCACCACTAATTATTATTTAATTGCTGTATTTGAATTTTGTAAGGCATTATAAATAATGTATGGCTTAGGTGGGAGCGGCGGTGAAGTGCGGTTCTCGTCCACAAGGGTGTCGACAAGCCCCAGGGAGGGATGGACTTATTATTTGATTCTTCAATCATTTTTCTTCTCATTTTTTACCTAATTTTACCTCTGTTGAACATGATGACAATGACAGGGCAGCTAAATCTGCATGCGTTAGTTATTATGCACCCCATATCAAGTTCAAGTTCAAGTATGTTTATTGAGATAAGCAATAAATACATCTCAAAGGGATAGAGTAGCTTAGGCTATTTCTACCCCCCTTGCACCCCAAAGCCGATGTAGGTGGTAGTGAGAAGGGTTACAGAGGTACATGAGGCTGCCCTGACCAGGTTTAGGCCTCATTAGCAGCCCAGCCATGGTCGAGGAAGGGTACGTCTTGGAGACTCTAGAAATGAACCAGTGACTTTGATGGAGGATGAAGAAGGAGGATCCAGGGGGCCAGATTCACGAAAGCACTTACGAACCTGTACATCTTTTCTCAATCTTTGGCGGCTTTGTTTACAATTATTAAATAGCTCATGAGCTCCGAAGCACCAGGAGGCTGTTTATAACAATAACAACAGTTGAATGGGAAGTTTTCATGCTTGTAAACTGTTTAATAAATGTAACCTAAGCCGTCAAAAATTGAGGAAAGATGTACATGATCGCAAGTGCTTGCGTAACTGCTTCGTGAATCTGGCCTCAGGCTTCTTCAGGTAGCAATGACCAGGAGAAACAAACGGAAAACTGTGAGAGTTAAGTGATACTGACAGTGATGAAGATCCACGCCAGACGGAACCTGGGTTACAGAGTTCTATACAAACTCAACAGGAAAATCTCACCGGTAGAATGCAACAGGATTACATACAGCAAGAGACAGGGATTACTGGAAGGAAGCGGCTGTTATCTCCCCTCGACATGTTCACTAACCTTTCATCAGAAGCTGAAGTGGATCGTTCAATTGGCCACGGAATTTGGTGAATATGAACCATTATTTAAGGTGTTCACCGGCCCTATACAACGGTTGGGACAGAAGAGGCAGCGGAACATCTAACGACTGACGGATTTAGGAATATTGTTTTGGTTCTTTCTACTTTCTACCTTTTCTAATTCTACTTTCTACTCCTCTCCGTGTTCTCAGTCTCTCCCTCCGCCTATTTTTAAACTTAAAACTAAACCCTGTAACTTCTCTACCTCTCTCACCCCCTTTCTTCATTATTCATGTCTTCCCATTCGTTTCTCTTATACGTTACACAGCCTTGACGAACTAGTTACAAAGCTTAATGCATATTGTTACATCATGACGGGGTTCGAGACCCGCCACAATAGTCTCTTAGCTAAGCAACTTACATGTGGTGACCTGCATGCGATTAACTAGAAATTGAGCTAAATTTACCTTAGAGCACTCTCGATTCAGCCCCGCTCCTGTGCCAGGTAAGTCCACTACGGGCTCACCATAGCCCGTGCTACTTGCTCCGCTCCTGTGCCAGGTAAGTTACGGGTTCACCATAGCCCGTGCTACTTGCCCCGCTCCTGTGCCTGGTAAGTTACGGGCTCGCCATAGCCCGTGCTACTTGCCCCGCTCCTGTGCCAGGTAAGTTACGGGTTCACCATAGCCCGTGCTACTTGGAACTTGTTCCGAGTAGCTGAATCTATAACAACATGTCCCCCTACACAATGATTTATTATTACCTATTACTTTATCATTTAATTTAAATATTAAATAAAATAATGTATTTAATTATTATAGTAAGTACTTAATAATTTAATAATAAGTAGTAAGTACATAAAAATGATTAAAAAGTACAGTTTAGTCATAGGAGATTCCTAGATTGGAATTCACTACCAAATTTCAATATATCCAAGTATTTATAGTGTGAAATGCTGTTATTATATGCATAAATTGTTGTTTTAATAATATTACGCTTAACCACTTGGGACGGACGGTAGAGCGACGGTCTCGTTTCCTACAGGTCCGTGTTCAATCCCCGACCGTCCAAGAGGTTGGGCACCATTCCTTTCCCGCGTTCCATCCCAAATCCGTATCCTGATCCCTTCCGAGTGCTATATAGTCGTAATGGCTTAGCGCTTTCACTTGATAGTTCCCCCACCCCCCCTGAATAATATTACGTGAGCAGTATTTACGGGCTATTCATGCCCGTGCCACCTCTTGGGTGGCTTAATCTTCATCAGTCGAGAGCAGTACGTCCTAACCAGACATTATATGATGATATCCTCAACAGTTGATAAATAAAAGTAATTGCGGAGCTCCAGTTATCTAATACTTATCATAAATGGTATAAAACCTTATCATAAGCCAAGGGATTTGTAGATCAGTGTTTAAAGGGAATTCGGAAGTAATAATGATACAGCTGATGCCATCTGTCGGCAGAAGAGAACACTATCAACTGGCTGGTAAATAGTGGCCATAAGATACAGCTTACGCCATCTGTTGACATCAAATTACACCTATAACAAATTACCCCACAAAATACCACTAACGCCATCTAGTTTTTTTCCAACGCACTATAAATAGCCAAACAGCAACCCATAAGGTGGGTTGTTGTGCTCGGGTAGGAGGTTCCAAGCTCCGCCCACAGATCAAGTCTTTGAAAATGTAAGAAGCCTTACGAAACGCTTTTAGGCGTCAGACCAAAAATACAAACTTAAAGTACATGAAGTACATGATTCCAGTTAATACATGCTAACATCTTTGCTAATTTTATGGTACAGACGAGTTCCATTCCTTGTCTTGTATGTACTGAGTTAGAATGGATGGTGGCAGCACTTTCTACTTTCTACCTTTTCTAATTCTACTTTCTACTCCTCTCCGTGTTCTCAGTCTCTGTTGTTGTTGTTTGAGATTTAGCTACTCAGGACGAAGTGTCCATGTAGCACGGGCTATGGTGAGCCCGTAATTCTCAGTCTCTCCCTCCGCCTCTTTTTAAGCTTCCCATTCGTTTCTCTTATACTTTACAAAGCCTTGACGAACTAGTTACACAGCTTAGTGCATATTGTTACATCATGACGGGGTTCGAGACCCGCCACAATAGTCTCTTAGCTAAGCAACTTACATGTGGTGACCTGCATGCGATTAGCCAGAAATTGAGCTAAATTTACCTTAGAGCCACTAACGCTAGTGGCCTCGACGAGGACAGGAAGCCGGCGACTTGTCAAAAGTCGCCCCCCTATCTACAGGTATCTGCAATTTCTGTTGTAAAATCCGCATTATTTCAGGAAATAAGGGATGACAAAAGAAATCACTAATACTCAAAGAGGAGAAACCACGAGTATAAAGAGATTTGATATGTTGAGAATCGAGTACTATATATTCTTGTTCTCGTATGGGACCCCTAGAGATGGTGGCTATCAGGTAAATTCAGGTAAGTGAATTTACCTGATTTTACGAGTATTGACTCGTGGTCAATATTAACGGCTACCAGTCAAAACTCTTTTAAAATTAGTTTAGTCTAAATTAGTTTATGTTTATTAGTTTATTATAAATCTAAAATTAGTTTATTATGCGCCCCTTTCATCCTGTGAGTCATCCACCCCTGCCACAGTCATCCACCCCTGCTACATCCACCCTCAATTACGCTCAAAAAGGGCACTCAAGCCTAATATTTTAAATATCCATCGTAGATTTGAAATTGCATATCAATTTGGGCAAAATATGACTCATTTCCCTTTTCACCTGCCGTCCGATCCACTCCCAGTCACAGTCATCCATCTCTGCTACAGTCATCCACCTCAGCCACGGTCATCCACCTCAGCCACGGTCATTCACCTCAGCCACGGTCATCCACCTCAGCCAGCAGGTACTCGTTAAGACTGATGAGAGCGGGTGCCACAGCAACAGATGGCCTGGAGAGCCCCAGGTGCCAGTTCTCAGGTGAGCTCACTGCTCACCTCTATATAACCTGCAGGTGACACTAGGTGGTCACCAGTGGCTCTCAGGAGTGTCTCAGTGTCTCAGGTGAGTGTCAACTCTTTACTGTATCCTCGGCGACTCTTTACTGTATCCTCGGCGACTCTTTACCGTATCCGGGGCGAAATGTTCTTCTCAATCTGAGTTTTAAATTAGTCGTTTACCTGAGGGGCTCTTTCTAGTGGCCCAATTGATGTATATGCGATATATTTTTAAGTACGCTATTCGGTAAACATTTTTATTTTGACAATTTTGACTAAACAATTTTGACAAAAAATTTGACAAAACACATTGCTTTCTTCCCTCGGTGTATAGGATGAAGTCATTATTGGTGATGTTGATGGTGATGAGGGCGACGTCGGGGCTGGACAATGGCCTGGCCCTAACCCCGCCCATGGGTTGGCTCTCTTGGGAACGGTTCAGGTGTAACGTCGACTGTGATAATGACCCATACAACTGTATCAGGTACGGACCCGAACACCTGTCTCTCATATCCATCTCCATCCACCCATCCCTTCCCCCCACACCCATACACTGTGTGTCAAGGGACTGGTAGCTGAGTGGATAGTGCGCAGGACTCGTAATTATGTAGCCCGGGTTCGATTCCCTGGACCAGGCAGAAATAAATGGGCAAAGTTTCTTTCAGCCTGAATGCCCCCCCTGTTACCTAGCAGTACATAGGTTCCTGGGAGTTAGATAGCTGTTACGGAGCTGCTTCCTGGGGAGGGGGGGGGATAGTTAGTAGTTACAGTTGATTGATTGATAGTTGAGAGGCGGGCCCAAAGAGCAGAGTTCAATCTCCGCAAGAACAAATAGGTGAACACACACACACACACACACACACACACACACACACACACACACACACACACACACACATTAGATAATTAACAATTAGGTGACACACACTTAGAAACACCTGTCCACACATACATGCACACTCCCACTAGGCTGTATGCACGCACATAAATGGAAGCTATAATGTGCAGCTGTATCAGTGTACACATGTGCCCATTAGGGTAAAGGTACGCTAAGTTACTCTATCGATTGATTGATTGATGTACATTAAGCCACCCTAGATGTGGCACGGGCATGAATAGCCCGTAACTACTATTCTATCCTTTTGAGATGTATATTATTGTCATTAAACGTATTTGAACCTCACCTGTAGCTGTACTTACCTATCAGTGACTACGAGGAAGTGAGGTTTAGCTCTGCATACCCCATCTACTGGCGTTATTGTACCCGTTGTGTTCACTATTCACTCAATAATATCTTTGTCGAACCTTTCCTTAAAGTTGTGACTAGAAGTGGCTTCCCCCCCTCGCAGATGCCATTCTGTACCTTCACTAAGATTATTGTTCATGGCAGCGAAACGTTGTTCATGACGATGGCCGACCTGCTGGTGAGTGAAGGTTTCCGGGACCTGGGCTACGACATCGTCTGCCTCGACGACTGCTGGCTCGACCACGAGAGGGACGCTGACGGCAAGCTCCAGCCGGACCCCAAGCGATTCCCTTCCGGCATCAAGGCCCTGGCTGACTTTGTTAGTTGCTTCCTGTGTTGTTCCCTCTGTCATCATGGCCCTGGCTGACTTTGTTAGTTGCTTCCTGTGTTGTTCCCTCTGTCATCATGGCCCTGACTGTCTGTGTTAACTGTTTAGTTTGATTTACATAATTCTGTTTACTAAAAACGAGAAGAAGCTGTAGAGTTCCGCCTCATTTTGTGCATTTTCTGTCTTACTTGTTCTTGAAGCTGGGAATGGTTCTTTCCAACATTCCTGACCTAAGTTAATTGTATTAATTTACTTTAACTTACTTTATACAAGTATCTCCTTAGATTTCCCTCGTTCTCTATATTTCCATTTTCGACCAGTGCTCTGTTATTCTGCTATGGCACCCTGAGCGTATATTTTGTCTCTATTTACTCTCAGTATCTTTCACGTTGCTGACACGAACTTGCAGATGCACGAGCGTGGCCTCAGGTTTGGCATCTACGAGGACTTTGGCACCCACACCTGCGGTGGCTACCCGGGTATTATGGGTAACCTGGAGCTGGACGCCAACACCTTCGCCGAGTGGGGCGTCGATTATGTCAAGCTGGATGGATGCTACGCTGACCCCGTCGACATGGACGCAGGTACTGCCCTCTTGAACATAGGTAGAGTTACTGCCAAATGACTTATAGAAAAATAATACCTCCACAAACTAATACCTAAATACAGGTATAAGCACACATATTTAAATAATATTTGCATTATTTTTTGCCAATTTTCTTGTAAGTCAGCAGTAATGTTGAATAAATAAGTCTGGTGTTATTGACAGGTTATCCCGAATTCGGGAACTTCCTTAACAAGACGGGTCGTCCCATGGTGTACTCGTGTTCTTGGCCCGATTACCAATTGGCTGCTGGCATGACGGTAATAAGCCACCTCCTCACGGATCGGTGCTGGTATCCATACCATACACCTAAGGCGGTTACGCCACTCCTGTGGCCTAACCACAGTAGTAGAATCTTGTATGTTTATGTCTACGGATGATGCTAAGCTAATGAGAAGAGTTGAGATTCCGTTGTAAGCTACTCCAAGATGACAGACAAGTTGAGGATGTGGCCCGAGAAATGGTTATTAGAGTTTAGTATGAGCAAGTGTAAGGTGATGGAAATTAGAACAGGCGACAGGAAACTAGAAAGACCTGGGAATGGATATAACACTAAGCCTAACTTAAGACGCACATACAAATAGGATAACAGCAGCATACTCTATAATTGCTAAACTCAGAACATCGTTCAGGAACCTAAATGAGGAGACAATTAATAATAATTAATTTCATTTCATTTCATTTAAATTGCTGTACTCCACCTACGTGAGACCAGTTTTTGAGTATGCCGCCCCGTTGTGGAGCCATCATCTTAAAAAAACACATAAGAAAACTAGAAAAGGTTCAGAAATTTGCAACGAGGCTCGACTCATAATTACGAGAGATGGAAGTATAAAGAAAGACTGAAAGAACTAGACCTGACGTCAGACAAAAAGAGGGAAGCCATGACAAATTCATAAAATGCTAAGGGGATTCACAAAGTGAAAAAGAGATGTTCAAAACGAATAACAATAGAACGGAAGGGTATAGATGGAAGTTTGGGACTCAAATGAGTCATAGAGATGTGAAGTTTTATTTTAGCGTAGGAGTAGTGGGGAAATGGATTGAACTGAAGGAGCAGGTTGTGGAAGGGACTCCGTTCATAAATGTAAAAGTGGATAGAAGAATAGAGTTGGAGTCATTGCTTTAGACAACCAGGGGCTAGAAAGGCCCTGCACCTAGCAGTAAATAAGTACCAGGGAATTAGACAGCTGCTACGGGCTGCTTCCTGGGGATATGTGTGTGTGTGTGTTAGAAATATATGTAGTAGACAGAGAGAAACATACATTGATTAGAAAGGCGGGGTCCAAGAGCTAATAGATCGATTCTGTTGTAACAAATAGTAAATACATCCTACAAGCACACATACTAATAGTTAATACAAGTAGTAAAATAGTAAATTTCTAACAAATAGGAAACACACAAATAGTACGGTCCCAGGGACCATATGTATAACACAAGCCAATGCAAGGATGACTTAGGCTGCTACCATACAGGAGTTGTACACGTTTACAGCCTAACTGGTCGGCGATCATTGACACGTGTAACTTGTGGAGGAACTTCGACGACATCGAGGACTCGTGGGACTCTGTAACAAGCATCATCAACTACTACGGCGACAACCAGGACGACATCGCCCCCCACGCTGGCCCGGGGCACTGGAACGACCCGGATATGGTAGGTTTTTTAGGTATTTTTTCACTGACAACTGCACCGTCAAGCCAGTACGACATTGCACCTTACTCAGGTTTTTTTTTTAGTTTAGTTCAGTTATTATTCACCCCATACTCATCTTGTGGGTTACGCCTTTAAGAAGCCGCTGGCTTCCTGTCCCCATCGAGGTCCCTAGAAATGATATGGCCCTCGAATCGCCATCTTGAAAAAATATTAAAACATATTTTATTCATTCAGATGTACATCTCGGTGCAATATCCTGGACTAAGAACTTTTGATAATTTTACTCTCATCAACCCAATGTACTTTTTTGTATATAAATAAATAAATAAATAAATAAATACATAAATAAATAATAATTTTCTCCTTGGCGCAGCTTATCATTGGAGACTTCGCGCTGAACCTCGAAGAGTCGAAGGCACAGATGGCGCTATGGGCCATTCTGGCGTCTCCGCTAATCATGTCGGTGGACTTGAGGGCCCTCCAGCCGCAGTACAGGGCCATCCTCCAGAACCAGGAACTCATTGCTGTCAACCAGGATGAACTAGGAATACAAGGCACCAGAGTTCAGAAGGTGAGCCGAGGTTCTCTACCTGTGGCGAGGAAGAACAGGTTGAGAACCTGTCCAACACTAAAACACTTTAGCCATTGTGTTCTAGCGTTGGTACGGGCTTTAATGGACTTAGTGCGTCATAGTTATTATTTAATATATATAATATAATATAAATATAATTATCATAACACCATCAAAGGGCTTACACGTGGGTATTTCAGTTACTTTCAGGAAATTTGTGAAAATAGCACCAACGGCATTTTAGAAAATAATGTGAGCTATTTTGAGAACTGTTTTGAAAACAATGCGAACTATTTATATATACACAATTCCCAGAAAAAATGAAACAGATGTATGAGTTTGTGGTTTGAAAGCGAGTTAAAATATGAGGATAATTTAAATATATATAAAAGCTGCTCCATACGTACTCTGCCTTGGATATATTTAATTACATATCACCAACCACTAGTATTAGTGGCTCTTAGGTAAATTATACCTCAGTTTGAAATCTTTCTGCAACCCGTTCGATTCCGACAGTGCGAATCCATATCACTCGATCGAATGAAATTTCAATAAATAGTTAGTCCTTAATTTTCCGTTTTTTTTTTTGCTGTTGGAGAAAGAAAATGTTACAAATGTGATGGCCAAACTAATATATTCTATTTTCCCCTCTTAAAACATTTTCTTAAGTACTAATATTGGGGAAGGGGGTAGTACAAGATACAATGTGAGTTTGAAACACACGATATAGGAAACTATGAGGCTGAAATTAGGTATTTATGGTTTTACTTATGAATAAGGCATAGGTTGGACATTTTTTTAACTCATTAGGGAATGAGTTCCATAGACTGGGGTCCTCTTATTTACATGGAGTGTTTGCACAGATTTAGTTTAACTCTGGGGATATCAAAGATATATTTATTTCTGGTGTGGTGCTCATGGGTTCTAGTACACTTATCAAGGAAAAGTTTCAGATCAAGACAGCATTTAGGAACAAGGTTTTGTACATGTGTTTACTAGTTGTGTTTTTGCGGGGGTTGAGCTTTGCTCTTTCGGCCCGCCTCTCAACTGTCAATCAACTGTTTACTAACTACCTTTTTTTTTTTTTTTTTTTTTTTTTTTTTTTTTCCCCACACCCCACACACACCCCCCAGGAAGCAGCCCGTGACAGCTGACTAACTCCCAGGTACCTATTTACTGCTAGGTAACAGGGGCACTTAGGGTGAAAGAAACTTTGCCCATTTGTTTCTGCCTCGTGCTATTTCTGCCTTCTGCTATTTCTGTCAAATAGCACACGAGAATGTGTGAAATTTGTGCATGTTTATTGCTGTGTATATATGTATATAACAAGATGGAAAGATAGATAAACAATGTTAACATTGTCTATCTAAAGTTGAATTTGATTTGAAGATTTACTACCAAATTTACTACTTCAGGAGAATGGCATTGAGGTGTGGACGCGACCCATCACCCCTGTGAACGAGAACAACCACTCTTTCGCTGTGGCTGTTCTCAACCAGAACTCTGACGGCACCCCTGCACAGGTCAGTACAGTGCCAGGCTGACAATGATGAACATAATAACAATTAAGAATAAAGACAGTAACTGCCCACAATCAACTTTGATTACAGGTAACGTTGAATGGAACCTCCCTGGGCTTGACCTTCGCCGCGGGCTATGAGGTCTGGGACCTCTTCACCGATGTCCAATATGGCACCGTACTTCCTGACGACGGACTCACCCTCTCCGTCAACCCCTCCGGCGTCGTCATCACCAAGTGGAAGGTCGTCACGAATTAATAAACCGATGATGTAACGAGGATATAAACAATGGCGTAAAGATTGGATAAAAAAGTAGCATCGAGAATACTGATGAAACAATTGACGAGAATAACGACGAAACAATTGATGAGAATACTGATGAAACAACATTAATAATACATAATACATTAATGAAACTACAACAGTAACAACATGAATAGTAAAATATATAAAGAAAATAATATTTACAAAAAAATTACGAAAATAATATTCATAACACTGTTTCATTTAAGCTACATGTCATGTATTGGATTTAGTCTGTTTAATAAATATGAAAAACTTTTTCATTCGCTTATCCAAACATTTGAATGTTCCTAATAGCCAGCCTCGTGTTGGATGTGTGGGAGATAGCATGCATGTTCCCTGCCCTGAAATATAAATTACAGAGACGATGTCCTAAAATGTGAATGACCTCCTATAGCCAGAAAGAACGTGTATAAAGCGTTATGATATGTTCAGAACCGAGAACTATATGTACAGACAACACTAAACATCCACTAGACAGTGTGACATTATAATTAACAGAATTAGGCTGGGATATCGATGTCTGTAGGTAAGGAATCCCCCAAATGGTGAACGTTCGTATTGTAAACTATGTGAACAAGAGTTAGGACATTCTCTCCAACCTTGCTATATAGCCTTCCCGGCGTGGTGCCTTCTTTTAATAATTACTTACTTACTCTCCAACACTATATCTGCGATTGCCCTGCTATCAATGATTCCAGCCCAAATGGTATGAGGGTTCTTTGAGCTCTGTAACTACTTCATACACTCAGTAATATTGGAAGATATTGTGCTGTGCCCTGATTTTGCTAATGGAGGTTAATATCTCATGTTCGTTCCTGATTCCATGTATGACTAACCATCCTGTGAGATGGTTAGTCCTCAAATGTGAATGATGTTTGATTCAAATGTGAATAGCTTGAGCTATCTCATCCTTTTGAGTGTATTTTACCTCGATAAACTTATTTCAATTTCAATTTCAGTTTCCTGTGAGATGGAGATATTTTATGAATTTATAGCTAGTTTTTTATCTACCCCCTATAATCCTTCATATAGAACAGGGGTAGCAGCACATTGCTGTGTATACCTAAGCTTATTAATTAAAAAAGTGAGATTAAAATCTGTATATTTGTAAGCCTATTTAAAGAGTTAGTAGTTGAGAAACTAAGAAATACATCAATAACATCAAATAACAAATTTAACTCATTCCGAATAAGTTAATAATATTGTTCTACTATTATTGTGAATATGAAATGTTATATCAGTATATTAAATGTTTTTTAAAAAAAATATAGGAGAGAAGGTAGTGGATGTGAAGGAGCGGGAGGAGCCAGCTGGCAGTGTTGATGTTTACATCAGCAGCTGCTGCAGGGAGGCTGTTGGGAGGTTGCGTCACCGGTCACCTATTCCACGTGTCTGGGAGAACACGTGGAATTTACGTGTTCCTGAAGAACACCATGATGTTGAAGGTGATGTTAGAGCCTTTAGCGAGGTTTATGAGCTTCCAGTGCAGATATCCTGGAAGATTGATGAGTCTAAACCGAAGCAGATTACCTTGGCGTGTTTGGGAGACCTGTGATGCAAGGACCATATTTCCCTTCCTGAAGTGTAGCAGTAGTACTCTAATGCCCTCAAGAATGATTACCTGCACTCTAAGAACATGTTGTTTAGGCTCTCAACACTACATAGATTTTCTTAAAGTTCCATGTGAAATAAATTTGAGAACGTCTAAATGGAAGAGAAGAGGCACCAGTGGACCAGGCCCCGTGTGTCTTGCACTGATGGTGGCTGCCTGCTGGGATATGAACAGGGAACAGAAAATTAACGAGAGAGAATTTATTCTGGCAGCAATGGTGGGCAACACCGAGCGAATGAAGGTGAGGTGGATGGGTCTTCATATTTTATTTTATTGATTTTATTTATATATATACAAGAAGGTACATTGGGATTGTGAGGATACATAGCATAGTAATTACATTCTTGTAAAGCCACTAGTACGCGCAGCGTTTCGGGCAGGTCCTTAATCTAAGAAACTTATAAGTAGGTAAATACTTGCAAAATTTATAAAAATGATAACGGTTACATAGCATGAAAAAAATAAAAGATGAGAGAAAAATTGTAGGTATATTAAAGCACATAGGTAGCTCAGAATGATTGCAATGACAGCTTGAATGGTAGTTTAACAAAACTTAGCAGGCACAATACAGCATATGGCTAGCACATAAAAGAAGACAGCAATGAACACAATGATAAAGTTGTTTGGATTAAGTACATAAAGTTTGGGAGATTGGGTAACACTAGATACAGAGCAAGTTTAAAGCTCAGTGTAGGAAACTACGAAGATGAAATTAGGTACTTTTTGGTTTTGTTTTTAAATGAGGCAAAAGTTTGACAGCTTTTCGTTTCATAGAGTTTTCAGAAAGTTTCATAGATAGATCTTCATCATTTTTTTAATGCCTTTTAAAAGATAAATTCAAACATTATTATATTAGCTTTTCTCATGAGACAGCCTTGAAACAATGTACAACATTTTCAGAATGTTACAAGTACTTCAAGATGTATTTGAAATGTTGGTACAGTATTTGTTATACAGTACTGTATTTTGTATCACAGGAAGCATCCAGAAGCATAAAGTATTTTCATTTTAAAATGAAAATATTTTATGCACACCAGTATTGATGCATTACAATATTTTAAAGTTGCCGGTCTCCAAACAACCATCTGTCTCTGCACAATAGTTCTGAACTATTTATAACAACCAATACTGTATACAGTATATATAAATATTGCAAGCATAGGCAGTGTCTCCTACCTACAGTAGGCAAATGAGGCATATTAAGATGGTTTAAATAAAGTATTCAAAAAAAGATGTGGTGGTAGAAGACCATATCCATACATGGAGTTCAAAATTGCACCATCAAAACTATTTTATTCTAATCTAACCTTTCCAAATAAGGTTCTTGGTAATACAGTTTGGTTCATTCTCGACTCACAATTTGGAATCTCGGGTTTGAATCCCAGAAGGAACAAAAATGACTGGACACATTTTCTTTCACCTAATAATACTATTCGCCTAGTAGTGAATAGGTACCCAAGAGTTAGTCAACTGTTGTCAGGTGTCATCCTGAGGCGGGTCAGTAGTTCGACCTTGGGGGGAACCTTGATACAAGCCTAACATACATGCACAGGCTGCCTGTCCCCCAATAATACAAATTATCACGAAGAGTGAATGACTTCTAAAAAAATTAATATATTTTTTTTAGTTTATTTTTTATTTTGCTTATGCTACAGTCAGGCGATGTAATTTGCTTACTTTCTTGAATGATTTATATACATTAGCTTCTCGTTTTGTATTAGGTGTTTACTCCATTATTCCTATAAATAATTTTGACAGTTATTTTAAGATGCCCAAAATGCTTGCATATTAGTGGCTCTATTAAATATGCATTTTCCGTAACAACTAATTAACCATTGTATCATGTTCTTCATATTTCTTAAATAAAATTATTATTATTATTATTATTATTATTATTATTAAATTAATTTAAAATAAAATCTTTTGAATAAATTATTTTCTAAAAAATATAAAAAATGTGATATTTAACATAAGATATAGTTCTATGGTTGTTTTGTGTTTTTAAGGAATTCTTGAAAAAAGGAGTTGACGTAAATTGTCATCACCCTTATGGTTGGACTGCACTTCATGCTGCAGCTATTAATGGACGTTCACAAGCGGTCAAGTTTTTGCTTGACAACGGAGCTGATCCCAATCTTCCTGACAACTTCTCAAATATATTTCAGGTTAGTTGTTAATGGTAAACTGAGGAATATTAGTGATAAAAGCAATGACACAGTAGGAGATTATTTAGGAGAGATTGACACAGACAGAGATTGATGACACAGTAGGAGAATGGTAGAGTTGATGAAAAGGCATATTTTAGTAAGGTGAATGATACAAGTAAAGGCAGATTTTGTGAATGGAGAATGAGTAAAATGTGTAACATTAAGTGTGTGGTGACTGCATTGTTAGTAAAAGATTGAATATTGTCCATCTTTCTGTATATTTTATATAAATCTTTGGAGAGCATTAAATGTATTCAGTAGTAGCTTTAATTATTGAGATGAAATATTATATTCATTTTAATTATACTATTTCACTTCAGGTTGCTCGTGAAAACAGAACTTCGCCCACCAGCGTGGAAGTAATACGAGAGGGAGAGTTTAGCACACTTTTGAATCATAATCAGATGTTTCGTGGATGTACTGCTCTACACTATGCTGTCCTGGCTCACGACCAGGAGAGTGTCCAGATCTTGCTTGATGCTGGAGCTAACCCAATGTTGGTGAATGAATATCGCTTTAAACCGGAAGACTATGCGAGGGACATTGGTATGAGAACAATGATGCAGAAGCATTCTGAAAAATATCTTGCTAAACAAAAACAGAAAGAAATGGAAGACAGAAGAAAATTTCCTCTCGAGTTGAGAATTAAACAGCGTATAATTGGCCAAGAGGGAGCAATCGCCACAGTTTGTGGTGCAATCAGACGTAAAGAAAATGGCTGGTATGATGAAGAACATCCTCTGGTTTTTCTTTTCTTGGGCTCATCTGGTATTGGTAAAACAGAACTCGCAAAACAGGTTGCTGAATATCTCCACAAAGGAAAGAAATCGTCATTTATCAGAATTGATATGTCAGAGTACCAGCAGAAACATGAAGTGGCTAAGTTTATTGGATCACCCCCAGGCTACATTGGACATGATGATGGTGGACAATTAACTAAAAAGTTAAAAGCCTATCCTAATGCAGTTGTACTGTTTGACGAAGTTGAGAAGGCACATCCTGATGTGTTGACGATATTGTTGCAGCTGTTCGATGAAGGCAGGCTAACAGACGGCAAGGGAAAAACTATTGAGTGTAAGGTAACATAAGCATTATTTCTGCTAGTTCACCTACTGCATTTCACTATTACATTATTCTATGTCACCAGCATTTACTATTTCATCACTTTCCCTTCCACTACTCACTTGCTGCCCACTACTCCACCTCACCAACACTTGCTGCCCACTACTTGCCCCTCCTTGTAATACAATACTTCTGCTGTAAAGTATGGTTAATTGAGATAATATTTTAAGTTTATCTCCATATTCCTGTAATTTTTGCTCATTCATAAATTTATCATCATTTACCCTTTACAAACCTTTCTTAATAAACTTGAATGTATGTATAAGTATTTACTACTCTAATATAATAATCTTTCATTTTGGAATCAGGAGAATTATACATATAATTTTAAATACAGTATAGTTTGTATATATCCTTACAATGTGCATAAAAGAAATCTGTTTTTATGTTCATCAGGTTCTTGAGATGTCAAGATGTAGTTGCAATTTCTTTGTAAAGATTTGGTATTCATAAGCAATAAGTAAATTCTCATCTTTTTCTTACACTCTCAGCACTGTCATAGTGTGCTTTCTAAGTCTTATTTCTTTGAGCCCTTTTCATAATAATAAATTTTAAGCCCTATACAGTAATACATTTTTTTTATTTAGTTAAAATAAATTGTTATTTAGGTAAAGTACATATATACATATATATATTGAGTTACAAGCAGAATGTTGGATTTCTAGATAGAGCTAGCATATACTATGCCTAAAGCCACTAATACGCACAGTATTTTGGGCGAGATTTTGGGAAAAAATGAAACACTAAGACTTAAGACTAATTGAGATTAAAAGCATGAATTGAACTGAAGCAGCAGAAAGAATGATAATAAGTAGCACTGTCAGCCAAAATATAGGCTATCTTGAGGTTATCTTGAAATGATTTCGGGGCTTTTAGTGTCCCCGTGGCCCGGTCCTCAACCAGGCCTCCACCCCCAGGAAGCAGCCCGTGAGAATTAGCTAGAGAAGCAGCTAGAGAATTACATATATGGAAAGGTTGCGCTATACTGCACAGTAATTATTTTATTTTGCAGCAATGTATTTGCCCTTTCATTTTTTAATACATGACTAAGAGAACCTTTCTGGAAATGCTGCAACAGTGGCTCTTTGTTGCTAGCCACTCTGGATAGCTCTCTACACCTGTCAAATCACACCAGGCCTTTGTTAGTCATTAAGAGCCTGTGGAGGCACCTGGTCTTCCCCACAGACGCACAAGGAGCAAGGGATGCTAGATCACTCCTAACTGAGGAAAAAGTCACCAGAAAGGTAGAGCAAGACAAAACAGACAACAGCAAGGCAAAAGTAAACAAAACAGAAAATGTGACCCCCAGCAGTTAGGTAGTTGCACCACTAGTTCTACTTCACCACGACCTCCAGGTGGCATCACCGGGAGTTGGTGGTTCAGGAGGTGAATCCCCACTAGTGACGAGCCAAATTATGGTGAACTGAAGCTCCTGAAGAAAAAGGAGAGTCTAGGGAAGCACTGTAGACCCACCAGAAAGAGGCATTTCTTTGTATTCAATGCTGGGTTTCTGGGAGGGCTCCAAAGGTGGCTTCCTATTGCCTGAGGCTGGGTTTTGCTTTTTCCAGACTTCCATGTCTTTCCTAGTTTATGTCTTGCCTCTTCATTCTGTTGAGACTCCAGACTCACTCCCTCCCTGCCTCATAAGTCTGGGGTTGCTGAAGAAAGTGCCATGGCTGCTCTTTTTCCCTCTTCAGAGTACACTTCCTGTACCTGAGGGTTTGTAGCTCTGTTTGGAGGTGTACATTTATCCCCATCTTGTTGTGAACTGGGCATCTCTTCCTCTGCTTTGCAGTGAACCAAAATGTGACCCTGGCTCCCAATAGGAGATGAATGTGTCTTGGAAAGCTGGTGTGTTGGCCTAAGACTTGATGGTATCTGAGATAAGCTCAGGAAGCCACTGGTTGCCTACCAGAAAAGGGTATTTCTTTACGTTTAGTGCTTGAATTTTATTTACTGGTTACTTAAAATACTTAATTTATTTTTTGTACGTATATAAATTTGTTGTTTTTTAGGCAAAACATGAAGATTTCTGCAATTTATTAAGTTGCTTTTTAAGAGCTTCAGAATAACTCTGCATAGAGAAAGATTTAATTACACAATTTATGAATAGGTGTTTTGATTAATGATGTTTATACGTAGTACAGTGCTAGAAAAATTATGTACAATACTGTATATATTTTCAGGATGCAATATTTATCATGACGTCCAACCTGGGAAGTGATGAGATTGCCGAGTACGGGATGCAGCTAAGAGCAGAGGCAGAGAAAATCACCAAGCAACGATATGAAGGACAGCCAGAAGATATAGAAATCACTGAGACCATCACCATATCACGCAGGTGGGCAGTTAATTTAAATGTAGCTCGACTTTGTTAAATCTGTTAACGTAAGTTATGATAATTTTGATAATTATGATAGTTATGATTGCAGTCTCCGTGGTGTAGTGGTAAGACACTCGCCTGGCGTTCCGCGAGCGCTATGTCATGGGTTCGTATCCTGACCGGGGAGGATTTACTGGGCGCAATTCCTTAACTGTAGCCTCTGTTTAACGCAACAGTAAAATGTGTACTTGGATGAAAAAACGATTCTTCGCGGCAGGGGATCGTATTCCAGGGACTTGCCCGAAACGCTACGCGTACTAGTGGCTGTACAAGAATGTAACAACTCTTGTATATATCTCAAAAAAAAAAAAAAATAAATAAAGCACTACGTGCCGTGCAAAATACTTATGCTCACGTTTTAGTTATGCATTAGCAGTATGTATCGTCAACTTACCTACTCGCATCCAGTTCACCTCATGTAGGGGACCGGCTCATGCCTGTAGTGCGAGTATTATGTAGTATAATGTTTGTAAAATTTCTGTATGATGCAGCAATCATTTGTGAACATCTAGTGTACATTATGCAGAAATAATAGATGATTCTGAATAGTTGGACAAATGTGAACTGTTTATTAATACTGTAAGGCTGATTGGTTTGCTGCTTAACACATAAAATTATGTTTAGATTTCTTAGTACAGAACAGAAGGTAAGTGACATTTCTGGGTCCTATAAATTAATAGTAATCAATAATTTAGTTTTTTTAAGAGGTAGTGAAATTAATTTGTTGAATAATGTTCTCATTTGAAGTTTATTTCATTTTTTGCTCATCATTACTTTATTTGTTCTCAGGTTTAAAGAGAAGATCATTCGTCCCATCCTGAAAAACCACTTTCAGAGAGATGAATTTCTTGGGAGAATTAATGAGATAGTATATTTCGTTCCATTTTCAAGATCAGAATTATTAAAACTAGTTAGAACGGAGCTTGAAAAGTGGTCAAAGCAGGTAAGGTTATGCAGGCAATGAGTCACAATAACGTGGCTAAAGTAAGTTGACCAGGCCACACACTAGAAGGTGAAGGGACGACGACGTTTCGGTCCGTCCTGGACCATTCTCAATTGACTTAAGAATGGTCCAGGACGGACCGAAACGTCGTCGTCCCTTCACCTTCTAGTGTGTGGTCTGGTCAGGTAAGGTTATTATTTAATTATCAATTAAAAATGGATAATTTCTTTTTTAAATTATCAATTAAAAAAATGTATCTTCTGTCATATCACACTGTTCATTGTGTCGCTTTCTCTAGGAGCTCCTGTTTCTTGAGGGGCTATAGAAAATTGAATGTCATAATTTTCTTATTTCACAATAAATTTCTTATTTCGACGTAAACAAATTTTATGTAACCACATGCTTTTTGGTGCTTACATTTTTTTTTAGCCTTATAACATGTGTTTAATTGAAGTTGAGAGATATGATTCAGGGAAGGAAAGTTCTTGGTGCAATGAAATAAACAAGATAGGTGGAGATGCAGCCACAGGGCATGAAGGCTGTGTGATGGTGGTGGTGGTGCCTCCTACCCTCATGTAAGATGATGGTGTGGCACGAACTTGAACAGTCAAGAATTAGAACAGTAGAAATGGAGATGCTGGAGTGTAAAAAGACTAATAAGAGTGAATTGAGATGATTTAGGCATATTCAGTGGAGTGACGATAGTAGACTGGTGAAGAGAACGTTTTCAAGTGTGATATGATATAATGATAATGTAATGTATAATATTGGTTGATTTGTGTTCATGCCGTAGGCACACGAGAAACACAACATAGAGCTGAAGTGGGACCCCATGGTGTTGGATGTGTTGGCTGATGGGTACAACGTTTATTATGGAGCCCGATCCATTAAACACGAGGTAAGGCTTAAGGTTTTTCATAATTCATTTTTTGTAATAATGTCATTTGATATTACTAAAATATCGTGTATTTTAGTAATATTAAATGTATTACTGTATACCACTTGATTACTTCCTTGGACAAGACCTTCCTGGTTTCCTGTTGAGTATGATGAATAGTCAGGTTAGGTCGACATTCTCCATCAGTGCAGCACCCATTGTATTAAATGTCCCTTACTTGTACAAGGTAAACACTGGAGAACACTCAGTCCTGTTCAGGAAGATCTGTAGAATACTCATTCATACCAACTAAGAGCTGTGCAATCATTACTTGTTCCCTCCCTGCAAACACACCATAACTCTCTCTATTTTCCACTTGTTACAACTTGCAATAATGTTGTTACATCTTGTAATAATGTTTTTATGACATATTAGAACATTGCTACAACTTGCTATATTGATTGTTGCAACTTGTTAGGTGTTGAAACTTGTTCGAACGTTGTAGCAACGTCGTAGTTTTGTTGTGTGTTTGGCGGGTTGGCATTACAAGAACTGCTAAACAGTGCTGTCTCTACTGGCTAGGTAGCTAACATAGCTGCTAAACTAGACTGCCACCAAGTGGCAGCATCAACACGTGAGCATGATTCCCTGACAAGGACAAGCTCACCGTTCTTGACTGGTCTCACATGCAGCCAAGTCTGTCAGAGATCAAAATACCTCATTTCACCCTTAGTGTGTCTCTAATTCTTAAAATATTTAAATAACACTTAATTTTATGAGTTTCTTCTTTCCAAATGAGTTAAAAATAGGGAATACTTGTTAAATTTTTATTATTTATGAATTATTGTTATATTTTTTCCAGAAAGCACATTGATTAATTAAACAATAATTTTACAGTCTCCGTGGTGTAGTAGTAAGACACTCGCTTGGCGTTCGGCGAGCGCTTTGTCATGGGTTCGTATCCTGGCCGGGGAGGATTTACTGGGCGCAAATCCTTAACTGTAGCCTCTGTTTAACTCAACAGTAAAATGGGTACTTGGTTGTAACACCAATTCTTCGCGGCGGGGATCGTATTCCAGGGACCTGCCCGAAACGCTACGCGTACTAGTGGCTGTACAAGAATGTAACAACTCTTGTATATATCTCAATAAATATTATCTGTTTTTCCCCCCACATCTTAGGTTGAACGGCGCCTTGTGAACCAGCTGGCTATGGCTTATGAAAGTGGACTCATTACTGCTGGATGCACTGTCTACATATATACAGATATTCCAACATCGGATGCTGAGAAGGCTAAGTTGCAAGACACACCATCTGCAATCAAGATTCGTGTGAAAACAAAGGGGACTGATAGCTTCACTGACGTAGACCCAAGTGAACACCTCAAGTTGCATGACAAGAAGTAAAGACTGCAGCAATCAATGACGATAGTGCATGTACTGTATTTATAAAGGATAAACCCGTGATAAAACTGTTGATAATAAATCATGCGAGCGTATAATTATTACAGGATACCAATTGTTGCAACACATTGTCTTGAGAGTTTCATTATATAAATTGTTTTATGATAAATTGCAGTTGTTTAAAAATTTGATTGATATAAATTTATTTGTTGGCGTACCAAAAATTACATTAGGGTTTTGCTGGCAATGTTGCTAATCGTATTTTTGGAAAGTCATTTACAAATTTCTTTATTGCAAAATCAGGTGTGTACTGTATTGTCAGCACTGTAAATTTATTGGTTTATTTAGCAGTGCCAATACTGTAGATTTAACTTTACAAAAACAATTTTGTTAACCTCTCTTTCAAAATACATCTAGCAATGTTATCAGCCAATTCCTGATACAGCTTCTGGTCCACACTATAATTGCTGCTTTTTCTCAGCCCATCCTCCAAAAATAATATTACTGTACTTAGAACAAGTATTGGTGGAATTTATAAAAGTGGTCTGTTGTACCCCCCAAAAAAGTTTATTTTGTACAATTATAATTCCACAAAGGGCATACATACTTAATATGTATTGGAACAGTAACTATACAGCATAACCTAACCTATCCCAAGTTAGGTTATGTATATATGTATCCATATACAGTTCAGTATGGAATACCAGATCAACGGTAGTATACATCATCTTAGGCCTACTTTAGTGCATATTGTGCAGTATTACACAATATATATATATGCTATACTGGGGCCTTAGAAAGTTTTGGTTTGGTTGTGGCCATCTATCTCGTGCCCTCTACAAAATTACTAGTACAAGACGTATTTAGTTTTATGGGGAACAAGTCAATTTTTGTTTGATGTTCTACCCATAACTGCTATAAGTACCATCATTTTTGGATGACATGTTGTCTTCATGCATCTATTACCATATTTACTGTAAATTGTTATTATGATCTATCTTACAATGTCTCTCTGACCTCTAATATATTTAATATATTGCATACCCTCACCCAGAATACTCGTTTCTGGTGTGGCCACAATTTTGAAGGGGAATTCTGCAACATTCAGAAATATAAATGGACAGTTGAGTATTTACATTGTAGGAGGAGCTTTCAGTATCCAAGCATTTGCATGTATCAACTTGATAGTATGTTAGAAAATAAAACTATCGATAAAAGTCTTGTCCGATTAAGGCTTTTTCTGTTTTTTTTTGTTATTTTAAAAAAGTTAGCAGGTCTTACTGCATATGATAGAGCACACAATATATATTAACAATACATTTTGAATATAAAATAATAATTATATGGTAAAACCTCTGTATTGTATTTTACTTGAATCTTTTACCAAAACACTTATGAGTCTGTCTATTATCTGGGTCCCTGATCTGCGTAATTAAGGTTTCTGTTGGTAAATTACTCCACCTTGTGAGTATTCTGAGTGGACAGCACGCTGGACTTGTGATCCTGTGGTCCCGGGTTCGATCCCGGGCTCCGGCAAGAAACAAAGGGCAGCGTTTCTTTCACCCTATGCCCTTGTTACCTAGCAGTAAAATAGGTACCTGGGTGTTAGTCAGTTGTCATGGGCTGCTTCCTGGGGTGGAGGCCTGGTTGAGGACCGGGCCGCGGGGACACTAAAAGCCCCGAAATCATCTCAAGATAACCCTTCCAAGGGTTTCATTTTAGTACAGTCTATGTGTACAGTATTCAATTGAGGCTGTGCTGAAAATGTATTTTTGCAAAACCCCCTGATAAGTTCACTATTTTTGGCAGAGTTCTTATTTATTCCATGTCATCTATTTTTCTACCTTGGTGTTGATAAATCCATCTGTTCAGTATTAATACCCTGTATCTAATTAAATGGGATGGAATATTGCAGAAAATCCATTAATTCATAACCGTGTCAAGTTAGATTAAGTTTTCAATCCGTCCTTTCTACCTGAATGTTCTTTAATTCACCACTGTACTTGATCTAAACCTTTGACAGTTTGCTTGTCTTGCAATTTAGCTAATATACAACTGAAATGTGTGTAGCCAATATCCCTGCATAATTATATTCTCACCAAGAAAGAACAACACTTGGGTAAAGCAGTTATTAAATTAATAGATTACATTACTAACATATACAGTATAAATAGAAAAAAGTTGATATAATGAACATAAATTTTCAACCAATCTAGTTATTTATGTAATACATGATGCATGCAGGAGAATAACTAGTCTATGAGTATGTACATTAAGAAATAATATGAGAGTGAATCATATGTTGAAATAAATCCTGGTTCTGTAATGTTCCTGTATCAGCTGAATATATTAATGTATAAGATGAGTGAGAATAGGTAAGATTGAAGGATTAGGAGGTAATTGGCAAGCTTTGTGACTGAGGAAATTTATGGAGCATATAAGAAGCTGGAATGCTGTGCATGTTCCAATCCTGTATTGATGTTAAGTTTTTTGGCTTGCAATGTTCTAATAAGTAAAATAAGGAGAAGGAGGAGGAAACAAGAACATATACAGAATATAACATGAACAGTATTAGAGTAATAATTAAGTCATGAAAATTAATGTGTAGAAGCTCTTAACGAAAGTACAAGATGGGGAAGACAAGGAATGAATTACAGATGATAAATTTCTGCAAGAGATTGTGGAGGACGAGCAGTGATGCCCACCCATGCCTCACCTGTGTACAACCTCCATGAGCAGGTGTGTGTGTACTCCTAATTTGTGCTTGTGGGGGGTTGAGCTTTGGCTCTTTGGTCTCGCCTCTTGACTGTGAATCAACTGGCGTACAGGTTCTTGAGCCTATTCGGCTCTTATCGTATCTATATTTGAAACTGTATGAAGTCTGCCTCCACCACGCCACTGCTTAGTGCAATTCCATTTGATAACTACTCTGTCACTGATAAAGTTCTTTCAAATGTCTCTGCAGCTCATTTGAGTACTAAGTTTCCACCTGTGTGTTTCCACCACCGAACTAGGGGACCTGTCTGCTTGTTCGTTTTTTACCCATGCTAAATAGTTTGTCTTTGTCCATCCTGTCAATTCCTATGAGAGTTTCGTAGGTGATCATATCCTCCCTAACTCTTCTATCTTCCAGGGACCTGAGGCTTAATTCTCATAGCGTTTCCTCGAAACTCATACCTCTCGGCTCTAGGACTAGTCTGATAGCATACCTCTAACTTTGTCTGGTATATAACTAGGTATGGACTTTAGGCTGGAGCTGTATACTCCAGGATTGGTCTGACATAGATGGTATACAAGATTCTGAATGATTTGTTTCACAAGTTTCTAAAGGTAGTTCTTATGTTGGCAAATCTAGCATATGCCACTGATATTCTTTTGATATGGGGGCTTCTGGGGACAGGTTCAGTTTGATATCAATCCCTAGATCTCTCTCTCTACGTGTGTGTGTACTCACCTAGTTGTGCTTGCAGAGGCTCAGCTCTGGTTCCGCCTCTCATCCCATCTGTTAACTACTGTGACACTAAAAATGCTCTTTCTAATATCACTATGGCTCATCTGGGTACTCAGTTTCTACCTTTGTCCCCTTGTGCATGTGCTCCTTTTTTAAATAAATTGTCTTTATTTACCCTATCAATTCCTCTCCAAATCTTGTATGTGGTGAGCATATGTACCCTAACTATTCTGATTCCATTGACGTGAGGTTTACTTATCATAGTCTCTCACACACATATGTTTTGTGTGTGTGTGTAATTATCTAAGTGTAGTTACAGGATGAGACCGTCTTGGTGGCCCGTCTTCCCAGCACTTTTTGTCATATAGAGCTTTGAAACTGACGGATTTTGTCATATAGAGCTTTGAGACTAATGACGGTTATGGTGTGTTTTTGTAATTACCTAAGTGTATTTACAGGATGAGAGCTACGCTCGTGGTGTCCCGTCTAACCAGCACTCTTTGTCATATGATGCTTTGAAACTATTGACAGTTTTGGCCGCCAAAACGTGTGTGTGTGTGTGGAGGACATGCAGTGACCTTCGGCGCCCACACTTGAGTGCATGTGCAGCCTCTCTGACCAGGACCTTCGCCACACATGGTCCGAAGTGATGGTCACAGATGTTGTTTTAGACTATATACCTGTAATATTATGGTTTTCATTAACATTTAACAGAATCTTTGCTGGGTAAGTTAAATATACTTTTTCTTTATCCAGATTAGTTACATAATCTATTTTATGACTATATATATAATCATAATCTACATAAATTTGTATTTTGTAAATACTGTACATTATTTATGTCAGGGAATTAAGTTTAGTACCTTAACTTGCCGTTAATTTCTTTCCCTTGCATAAGTTCAATACGTATGAGATTAATTTTGGTTGATAAATAAATAAATAAATAAATAAATGTTTATTCAGGAAAGGTACATACATACAGGAGATTTTACAAAGATTGATCGATTTATAGATAGAGCTAGTACATACAATGCCTAAAGCCACTATTACACAAAGCGTTTCGGTTCTTTAACATTCACTAAAAGTATTTCTCATTGTTATTGTTCTGCTGCCATTATGGGAGGGGAAAGCACCCACCATTTAGAGTGATATAATTGACATTTAGTCCCCCCTTATCACCTCATTATGAAACATCGTGGACAACTAATGGGCTATTTTGCCCATTTCACCCATTCTCATTGACTAGAACAAAAATACAATTAATAAATAGGTTCTCTCCACAAACTAGTGTATTGTAATTCCATCCAGACATCTCACTGACACTTCTGCTGTGGCCACGCACATGCCACATTTCCTCTCATGACAGATTCACAAAGCAGTTACGCGAGCACTTACGAACCTGTGTACATCTTTTGTTAATTTTTGGCGGCTTTGTTTACAATTATTAAACAGTTAATGAGCTCCGAAGCACCAGGAGGCTGTTTATAACAATAACAACAGTTGATTGGCAAGTTTTCATGCTTGTAAACTGTTTTTGTAATTTATTTATTTTGTAAATTGTAATCAAATCCGTCAAAGATTGAGGAAAGATGTACATGTTCGTAAGTACTTGCGTAACTGCTTCGTGAATCTGCAGGTCTTCAAGTCTCGGCTGTTCATTCTATATGATCTTACTACTAAAGTACACTGTTTTCAATCCTTAATACTCCGACTAGCTACGTGGTTCTTCATTAGACAACGTGTCTCTCCCATATGACGGAGACCAATAAGGGAAGAGGGAGAGAGAGAGAGAGGACAAGTGACCAACCCGCCTTCACCTCTGACCCCCAGAGCAGCGTGACACATATGCCGAGGTCGCTACCCGTGTCCAGCTTAACCACCCATCTGGCACCCATCTGGCACCCGTCTGGCACTGTGTTGTGATTCCAGCTACCAGCCAGCTGCACGATTCCCCACCCCCAGCTTGGCGGCTTGCTGTTGGGCTTAAGACCTTTTAACCTGTGGTGGAGGATTGTTAAAGTACTACTATAGCATAATGACCAACCAGCAAGTACACTTTAGTCTTGAGTGTTAACTAAGAGGTGAAGTATATTGTCGGGGTACAGATTACACCGGGAAATGTGTATTTCTCGGTGTACACATCAACACTTGCGGGACTGAAATATAACGGGGGATACTAGGCTATATTTGTTATTAATGCTATGGTGTTTTAATTATGCCTTCTTCTCTTACTATTATGGCTTACTGCTTACTTAATAACCCGGCTACTGCGCACTATACACACACACACACACACACACACACACACACACACACACACACACACACACACACACACACACACACACACACACACACACACACACACACACACTCACACACACACACACACATTAGGCTCAGGAACCTGTACACCTGTTGATTGACAGTTGAGAGGCGGGACCAAAGAGCCAGAGCTCAACCCCCGCAAGCACAACTAGGCGAGTACAACTAGGTGAGTACACACACATACACACACACTCTCTCTCTCTCTCTCTCTCTCTCTCTCTCTCTCTCTCTCTCTCTCTCTCTCTCTCTCTCTCTCTCTCTCTCTCTCTCTCTCTCTCTCTCTCTCTCTCTTTCTCTCTCTCTTCTCTCTCTTCTCTCTCTTCTCTCTCTTCCCCCCCTTTCCCTTCACTATTTTCAAACATCTTTCTTCTCCTCCTCATTCCCTCTCAACTCCCTTACACCTCTGTCTCAGAAAAATTATACTGTATAACGAAGCACTGAGATTGCCAAATAAGTTAACGGACAATACGCCCCAATATTTCAGCCTTCATGAAAATCGCACGAGGGGAGGGGGGGGGGGGTGGTTTAGATGACGATAATTCTTAAAGTGTGCCACTGTGGCTGACCCCCAACTGGCCT